TTTAGACAGCCTTATTGATGCAGCTTAATGCGGAATTAGCACCCAGCCTCAGAAACTTCGGCTTACGATTTCGGAAAATTTTGAGACATTTGTGCCTCAAGCTCAACAATACACAATTAGCACGTTGAGCATACGCCTATTAGGTGGAGCTCCGGCAAAATTTTCCTGAACGTGATTTTCGCAGCTGCTGCCAGAATGCCGCCCGTGATTTTTCCTGCGATGAAAGCCGTTTTCCGATTGATTGTAAAGTCTCCATATTCTTCCAGAACGAAGAAAATTAAATGCTTTTTTAGTTGGCAGAAGCACCGTACGATGTTCATAGCCGTCTCTTGATTTCAAACATCGGTGGTGTCAGCTGCGACTGAGATATTGGGAAGCACCAGTAATTCTTGGTGAGGCGTTCTCTCCATTTCATGCAAGAGCTATTGGTGTAGATGTGAAGTGTTGGCGACTGACTAGTCCTGCCACTTATGGTTAAGTGTGGCACCAAATCGGCCTCCCATCCAATTCCTAAAAGAGTTGCAATGCGTAGCGGGTCGTGCAAAGGTCCAGCCAGTGCACAAAACTGCTACCACAACCGCTTGATAAACGGCCATCTAAACAAAGTGCCCAGCAAGATACGCGCTTTGTTGCAGCATTAGCCCAGGGCGCTTATCCTGAGAGTGAAGCAGGTTCATGATTGCCGTAACGAGCGTAAGGGCAGCGCTCTAGCGAACCAAGAATTTCGCATGCAACCGTACCAAAATGAGTTTCTGTAGAGCACTGCACGATTGTAATCGACGTATTGGTTAGTCATGTCAGATAGTAGCTCTATAGGAACTCTGAGATCTTGGTCTTGATATAAGGGTGAAAAGTCTTATGTTGATCAGTCCATTTTATGGATGCGGCACCATTCTAACTTCAATCAGAGTCGTTGTGGGACATCGCGTGCCGATGAGCACTACACAATGACGCTATATGCCGTTTGGGCTCCAGAAATTTCGGCTGCCGAGCCTCATTTTCCAAAATTGCTTAAGCCACCAAAATCACTGAAAATTGTATATAGAGGTAATTCGACATCGTGATCAACGAATACGACATTCATTTTTGCGCGGTAGCGCCTAACCATTAAAGAGAGGACACTACGATTATCTCCTGCGCTCAGCCCTTAGCAGAGCTGCAGTGGAACGTAGTTGCATCCATGTTTGGCCAGTCTGCCAAAAATGAATTGTCATATTCCGTGGATCCAGGATGTCGAATTACTTCCTATATACAAGTTTTCCAGCGGATTTGGTTATCTTGCTACTTTTAAAATGAGCGCCGGATCGAATTTCTGGAGTCAAACGCATTACCGCCAAATGACTGGCTGGTTGAGGCGATGTACAGAAATCGGTACTCATCCTTCAGACGTATATGGTGTCAATCCCCGTACCGGAGGATAGATAGGCTCCATGACTGCCTGGGGGGAGGTAATCTGGCTTTGCATTAAACCGTGTGCTCGTAAGCGTGCCCGTTTACCTCGCATCAACCTCCGGCCTTCGAGTCGGCACCTCCTAATAGCCTACCCAGGCTATTAAGAAAACCATATGGTTTGTGGAAGGGTTTACCGCGAGGGGTTATAAATTCTCATGGAAATGTATCACAAGAATGCTGAGTCTATGGGCAAAAGTCGGACGGCGAATCGAAAACCGCCAGCATCTTCGTGCCTTTCCGTGCAGTTGCCTTCGCTATAGTTACTCCTGAGCCCAAGCCCTCATTGCGGTTCACATGCGCATATCCGGCTAACCGGCTCTATCACGGTGAACGTCGCTGAGTGCTGTAAGGCTATGGCAACAAATAGCCATTGAAGCTGAGTGCGTCAAAAGTGTGTTCCGTAGCGTAATAGCGACGGCACACCGCCACGGCAAAGCCTCAGAACGTATTGCGGTTCCGACTTTTGCCCCCACAACCAGCTCATTCTTGTCGATAGCTCTCGATTCGCGTACTGCGCGTTAACACGCAGTTATCAAAAATAAACATCTTGGAATCATGTGAAATGTTTCTGTAGAAGCCTGGCTTAGCGTTAAAAAGAAGTCATGAGAAGGTGCAATAGAAAGAGGGAGAGAAGCGTTTAGAACGTCAAGTCCATTTTCCACGCTTGATCCGTGCATCTTACTTCAAGTTCGCTGCAAGCTAGCGAACTACTGGCCCACTCTTTGGGAAGGCCAGTCCTCTGGTAACAGGGTAACACTTACAAAATCCTGCCTAACATATAACATTTGCTGTAGTGTCATTCATCAGTAAATCCTCTGGATAATAATCCAATGCTACTCATTCCTATGACCTAAACTATCACCTTGCCAGCAACTGCTTTACGGCTTGTAGATATCGCCGTGATTGGCCTACCGTCACCGCTCGGTGCCCATCGGTTTGTCAGTCTCCTACAGTTTGAATGCTAAGTTTCCAAAATTAGCGCTGAACAGTTGATAGTAACAAGCTGCGCTCCGACAAAGGCAGACGATCCATTTCAAGCAAAAACGTCCCCCTGTGCACAGATCACTTTTTGCTCAACCGTTCCTAGTTTTCGTCAGCTGAGTGATAGTAGAAGACAAACGTCTGTCCGCAGTCGAGCGAATAAAAGAATACACTGAAACAGCCGGTGGGAGGTAAAATGCCATTGCTCACGAGCAACTTTCAAAAAACCGGTTCATTTTCTCTCCAGCACCGTGGCGAGGACAGCCTCCCTCCCTCCAGTATGTTGCGCCTGTGATGCGTCGAAGTGTCGTCGTCGAAATTACTCGACCCGTTACCGTCAAGGTCTTGACCTTCTCTGAAGGATGTCACATATTCATTATATCGAATGGAGAGAAAGTTGGAGTCTTTCGGAGAAACTGGTGCCCAGCGTTGGTACACCCTTGCTAGCTTAGTGAGAATTCTCACGCCTCTTTGCCTAACACATCGCTTCGTTGACAAAATCTTAGGCAAAATCTTCATTGACGCTTCATTAGTTCCGAATCGTCGAGCCTGGCGGACGGCAAATTCTTCCTAGATGGCATTGACATAAACATCGTAGGGCCTTGCATGATCCTCAGGCGAGGCGTCCTACTATTATTCCTCCACGTGTGCTATTTTTGTTCAATAAGACACATAGTACGCTCACACACATTGAGGGTGTATGAGACCATCAGCCCCCCAGCTTATCGATGTGTCGTGGTCCCCCCCGCCCAAAATGTCAAAAATGGAGATACAGGACGTGAAACCCGCTAACTTCCTCCATGCTCTCGCCTTACCACCTTTGTTGTGCGCGCAGATGCCTCTCCTTCATAACTCGTCGTAAGCGCGGCAGCGTCGCGTGCGCTCACTTGGCACGTGCCAAGTCCTTTAATGCCGCCTTTTATCAAATACAAGTAAAACGGCCCAATTTCCTGATGGCGGATAAGATTTGGAGGTGCTGGCCAAAATAACAACAGAAAGATTAGTTACATTATATCCGTCGGAGTCGGTTGAATGACAGTGTCAGTCCCCACACTCCCGCACAGAGACTTCGGTAGCCCAATAAGCGGCACATCATCGTTGGCGCCCTTCCTCAACAGGGAAGCCGTAACTTCCGTCCGAAAAAAATTGGTAAATTGATTTTTTCGTAAGTTCAGGGACGCTGTGAAGGGGGAGGGTTTGTAATTGGCCTTTGTTTGAGCAGAGGGATCGTATTTTGTCTCCAGGGATTCTGGTCCCTCACAGGAAGGAACTAGGGGGGAGCGTCTCGACCGAAATCTCCGACTACAGTAATGATGTGCCCTGGTACTATTGTTGTGTGCATAAGTTCTTAGCGCACGACTTTTTCGTAAAAGATCTCAACAAGCGAACCAACCTGAGATTAGAGGTATGACCACCACCTTCCACCTACTTCGATGCCAGCTGCTCAGTCAGTGGTCGATCCTTCTTTCCCAAGAACGACGGCGCTGGACTTGAAACGCTGTCGAGTGCCTTTCTGACCTGATCCTTTGTGTACCGAACTTTGTTGCCCGTCCAGAGGGCCGCTGCAGCCGTGCTAGGAACAGGCCAGTAGTCAAAGGAAGCGATTGTCAGGGCTGTAGTGCGAGGCTGGGCCGTACCATCCAGCCATCCGCCTACTTCTCCAGCTCGGCTGGGTCGCCTTGCGGTGGTGAGGTCGGAGCGTCTGCTCATCGTGAGAAGGAGATCCGCCGTTATCACGCAGTAAGGGTCGACGGGTGAACTTGTCAATTTGCGGCAGCTAATAACATATGGTGAAGCGTCAATGCGTCTGTCCCCTCTCATCAGCAACTCCCAGTACGTCCATGCCTCGTTCTCTGACCACCAACAGGACAGGAGAACCTTTTTGGGATGAAGATGGCACTTTGGTGGCTTCTAGCTGTTCTTCGTCTTTGTCGACGCCACCTGCCGCCTTCCGGTCACACGGTTAATCGCTAGCGGCGGAGGACCACTTCTCATCTCAGTGATCATCGAGTTGAGTAAAGTGCAAGCTTCTTTTGCTGATCGCTGAAGTAAAAGCAAGGTAGTGGCGCAGGTAAATTTTGCTCACAGTGGAAATGTGCAAGCATTGCTGGCCTGCAAATTGCAAGGTGGTGAGTGATAGCTAGTGTGATCAAAAGAGTTAATAGTGTTCACGGTCGACCACGTTGATGACGTAATACCAACATGCCATGCAATACGAAATACGGAAGATCAAACACTGTGTCAAGAAACTTAATGCACAACCTAATACCTCCGATAAAGCGCTAACGTCTACTCTTCCATCTATGGCCATAACATAGCAAGCCTGTGAAACAGGAAAAATCAGCAGGACCATTTCTCCTGAAGTTAAGAGCGACACACTTTTTTAATGGTTCGCCGACAAGAGATGAGCCCACTGATGGATAAATAGGGGTGGCTCATACTCAAGAAGCACGAAAAATAGACAGACACTCTCTGGCAATTATTGCCATGGAAGTTTGCCGAAGACTTTGACGCAATGCTTCTGCATCTCATGTCATTCTGAAAATTACTAGTCCAGAGAATGCTTTATGGTAGCGGTAAAACCGCATTTAGAAGACGCTACTGGTCGGCTACACCGTAGCGCATGTTGAGAAGGGCCTTTCTATCCTTCTCGATCTATGTGTTCTCAAGAAGTGCTCCGCTTTCACTCTGAGAACAACACGAGCTTTTCGTTCTACAGCTTTTTTACCTTCTCGTCGCCGCTATGTCCAGTGCAGCCAATCCACAACATCCACTTCAGCTTTATATCGTCTGAGTACATTAGGATTTGCCGGAAGGCGAATATATGCAATATCATTAGAATATCTTAAAAGCGAGTACTAAACAGTAGTCATTTAAGGATCCTGTGTTGGTTCTCTGCGGCACGTTACGATTCAACTTGGACCCACTTCGAATTACACGCGAGCGGAGGGCTCTGGATTGCCATTGAACTGGCGAACTTGAATGCCATTCGTGAGAGCCCCGCTGGGAAATTCAACATCAAATTGATGAATCCGGCGCAAAATATAAGGTAGACTGATTTGCTAACATGTGTCTCTCGCTTCACAAGTCGCGTGGTCTATAAATTAATCTTAAGCTTTTATTTGATGTACGTCAGACAAAGGCTCATTCCGCAATTTTCATTTTGTATATTGATAGACCACCTAACACTTTTATTTTAGCTTCTGAGCGTTGTGTGCGAAGCTCAGGCTCCAAAAGAAACCTAGTACCGCAATCGCGGAATGTGCTTGAATAAATATGTGTCTTCACTCGATAGTTTCGTTTCCAGTGTCGGTCGCGGCCCAACTGGTATGCTTAACAAGAGCACTACCTGAGGAAGTCTAGAGTGCTAGTACTGGACGAAGCTACTGCTGCGCGTTGACCACTCACACAAGACACACTTATTCAGGTAATTCCGCGGTCACGATTATATCACCTAGTGTCCTTTGTTTTTGTAATATCCAATGAATTTTGTACTATTCACTACTCTAACTCCGAAAACCGAATTTCTAACTGAAACTTGGTATCAGTGATTGTTGCGATACCCTGATATGAAGATGACACTGACATTTTCGATGCTCGCGCCTTTGAGCGCCAACTTGGTGCTGTTGCCTTTTTATGAGAGTCGACATAAACTTGCGAACTAGGGTTATCTGGGGTTCTGGGTACAAGTACTGCATTTCCGTGCTACGACATTCTCCACCGAAGTTGCTATACACTTCCAACTTCCATGAATCCTGAAAAAGGGCGCATTAGTTTGTACAGTCCTCATCATTGCGGACCGCTGGGGCGTGGCAGTGCGGCTGCGTTTGGTGCAGATTGGCAGAGTAATTCTGCACCAGTTTTTGAAGCGGGCAAGTGCATTACTGTTTTGTATCCTTCGTATTATTCGTTTCCTACCACTTTTTGTCGCATACGCGTTTCAACAAAAAGGCTGAGAACGGCTTCAACAGTGTGCGCACTCCTTCTGGCTGACACGCCCCACCGATCCGCAATGATGAGGACTTTATTTAGGTCACTGAGCAGACATTTTTCTTAAGTTTCCGGAGTTGAGTCAAATAGTAAAACAATACTACGAGTTTTTGATTAGTGCCATTCCGGGACCGCCATAACACTTGATTGGAACAACACCTGTTGAATGCAACCATGTCCAGCGTTGGTATAAAAAATCTACCAGTTAGACACGTTTTTAATTAAATCGAGCGTTCCTGAATGTTAGCATGTTCATCATTTCGCTGAACTGATGACTGGCTCGCCTCAATTCGCCCGTGGTTCTTCCTGCTTTAAGAGAAGGAGGACTCCTGCAGTACCACATAGAGCGAAGGCGATGTTCTGCGCAACCAAGGGTACTAGCATTGTGTGCAGGCCCACCTGCGCTCTTCACGTACCTGCTGTACATATCCGAAGGCAGCACGAGCGTAGCTACGGTGACCGCTAAGGCCCATCAAGAAGAGAAGCGGAGACGTGCGTCTTCTCCTTCTTCTCCTTAGCGTTAGTCCTGCGCTGTCGCAGGGTCCAAAGAGGCGGAGAGGTATGCACAAGAGAAAATATTCGGTCCAGGAATGAGGCGCCAGGCGCCACGCATTCCCATCAGATGTGCTGTGTACTTACGAGGGCCGTTCAAAGTATTCTCGGAAACCAGAGTGACTGATGCGGCAATGTTGAGAAAATATTATACCAAGATTACTAAGTTGAAATATTGAGGAAAAATGAAAAAAAATCGAGAAAATGGAAAGACAACTGAGATTATAATTGCTGGTTACTTCTCGTTCTCCAACAAGAAAAAGGTCTTCGTGGAAAGCGTTTTCCTAACATGGAGAGCTGAAGGCGGCAGTTGAACATTTTTGACAAGATAGTTTTTTCGAGCAAACAAGTGTATGGAGGTAAATTGGGAAAGAAATGTTATTCAGAATTTTCTGCCTTTTTCCTTACCTATACCGAGAATACACTGAACACCCTTCAAAGGTATCACATTCCAAGAAGACCAACGGTGAATCAGTGCTGAGCACTTTTGTTCCATAGTACATTCAGCAAGAGTATGCTTCCTCTAGCTTCTAAAATCTACCACGTTACAGGCAACAATACGTAAGCAGTTCGATCAGTCGACAGTTATTACCATTGCTCATCGACTGAACACCATCCTTGATTATGATCGGTGAGTCTTTACTGCTATAAACCAAGTCCTTGAAATGTGGTAGGTGTATCTGCATCCGTTATGAGGATGTGGCAGCGGCTGTTCTTTGGTGAGACATCCTTATGCTGGGACAATTGTAAGCATGTCGTTGTACAACACAAGGCAATATGAAAATTGTCTCAAACCAGTAACTGATCCCCATGCTCAAACGCAGTCACGCCTACCGCTTGTCACTGCTGTGAAGTGTACGTTTCGACGTGGTGATTTGTGGATCGCCACTGAGCAATTTTCAATGTTCAATTTTGTTTTCAAGAGTATTGGTAATGGAAAATGGTCGTGTTGTCGAGTTCGCTCCTCCTCAACAACTGCTTGCCGATAGAAATTCTATATTTTATTCCATGGCATCCAGCGCTAACCTCAATTAGATCAGATTCTCTGTCTATTTGCCTGTACAACTCTTCGTAATCGGTGATTTTTCTAATGAAAGATCACCGATAAATGTCATTAAATTGTGATGAATACAGGGTACAGCATCGTGATGTGTGAGATGGTGGTGTACGACCCCCCCCCCACGTAAATGAGGATCTCATTTACGTGGGTGGACTGAACTTCCCTCTTCCCCAGCACCTACCCACCAATTCCCCACCACATTTCCCAGTTTTTCACCGAAAAAATTTTCCCACTTTCTCCCAAAAACTTTGCTTTCGAGCGGGGAGGAGGGTGTATAGTGCACATGAAACAGGAAAAATCACGAAAAGTCAACAACCGGGAAACCAACGCGACTACTTTCTCTCACAGGCACATACGACCTCTCCTCCCCTAACGACCAAATACGACCCCTTCCCCAGAGAAAAAGTAAGACCACCTATGTGTTTCACACAACGATGCTGTACCTTGGATGAATATCATTCCTTGTTGTTCCTTGTATGTATTTAGTGTTAGTGAGAGGTCTTTCTTTCAGAATGTTTCTTTATGTTACACTCGTCCTTCTGAAATTAAATAAAGTATATAGCAATCAGAGCATATGTGTTGGGGTGTTGTTGTAGCCGTAACCAAGATGATACAACAGTTTTATTTGGCTAACGTTTCAGCCTTATCGCCTTCGTCAGAGCCTGGAAAAAGTCAAAGATGAAAGTGAAACTACCTCCGGACATCATTGCAAACCTCAGATAAGTTATTCCCAGAGCGGAAGGATCCAGAAACCTGTCATGGATCACAACCACAAAACAACTCACCTTGAATGTGCGGCAGGTTTTGCTTGAGACCACCGCCAAAGTGACTCCCCATGAGTGGCTTCAGCTGACCTAGCCTCTCGACTTGAAGCCGATGGCAATCGAAGCCCACACAGGTCAGCAAACGGGGCGAGCTCGTTTGTGATGGCCAGACACTAGTCCTTTCTTCATTTTGGGAATTTTAGCGCATATCCAAAAGGTTTCCAAAGTTTTGCGCGCAGAAGTGTGGGGTTTCTCGCACCAAAACCCTACAGTTACCTCAAGCTCCACGCCTCCATGTATTGTACCGATGACTACCTCGACCATCTAGTGCTTCTTTACATCTGGGAGCACAAGGGCGTTCCAATCTCGCACAAAGACGAATCTTTACAGCAGCGCGTGATACATCACTTACGAGAGGGTAGGAAATAGAGTGGTACGCTTTTCCCCAACCCTCCAGGTCCCGGAGGACTTTGTTGGCTCCTGGGGGTGTCCAGGGGCCATGCGCCCGGGGGGGGGGGGTAAGCACCATTGGAAAGCGTTATGCTTTCGAGCTTATCAGGGATCTTCCCTTTCCTTCTCACCTGATGAGACCATTTTGGCTGTCCTGAACATGTTCCTGTTAGTAGCCCGTTTGGTCCAGGGGATGCACCGACCAGAAATGGACGAAGATGTTCTTGCTGGTGGATTTTCAGTACCGTTTAGTCCCACAGAACCCGCGCTCAAGCTGGATCAGCACTTTGAGGAATGAGAGCCAACTATTAGAAAGCTTCTCCCTCGTGCGCTCAATAATAAATGGTTTAGAGGGTCCCACTGACAGGATTTCATGGCTGTTGAACCTTGTGCTGGTGCAGCTGCTGTAATTATCCCTGCCCACCTCAGTAATACTGCTCATTTGCTCGATTCGTGGCGGGAGGCTAGGTTCAGACGGAACCATATGATGGAATCGTTTGACGTAACATCCCTCTACAGAAACGTGTCAAACGAAGGAGCCAGGCCACCTTTGAACTCCTTATTTAGCACGGGGCATCGATCTACGTGTATGGCCTGCCGACAGCCACTATAATGACACTTGTTAGAGAGTGTCTCAATTGTTCCATTTTTAGGTGGTCTGGTCAATAGTTCAGGCAGCTCAGAGGGGCCATGAGTCAGCGGCTGGCACCAGTCCAAGCGATTGCCTACATGCCCACGACAGAACAACCGTTATTGGATCGCCGACCCATTTTGTACAAACGCTACTTAGACACTGTCTCATCGTCTGCACCAAGGAGAGGGAACTAGACTCGTGCTTCGACCTTCTTAATAGCCGAGCTGAGAGCATCCGATTCACACGAGGGAGAGGCCTCTAATAGTTAGCTTTTATTCCTCAAGGTGCAGATCCAGCTTGAGCTGGGGTTCTATCGGACCAAGTGGTACCGAAAACCCACCAGCAAGAACATTTTAGTCCATTTCCAGTCGGCGCATCCCCTGGGGACCAAACGGGCATCAACAGGAACATGTTCGGGACAGCCAAAATGAGGAGGAGACAGAAGGGTCCCCGGAGTCAGCTCAGGTGAGGAGGAAACAGAAGGGTCCCGGAGTGAGCTCGGAAGATGACGCTTTCCAATAGCTTTCCCCCGAAAGGCGCATGCCCCTGGACCCAGCCCCAGGAGCCAACAAAGTCCTGTGACCGAGGCTTCGGAAAAGGTACCATTTCGCTTACCCTTCGTAAGTGATGTGATCAGCGCTGCTGTAAGATCTTCTTTGCGCGAGGACTACCCTGTGCTCCAGGGTAAAGAAACACCTAGACGGTCTAAAGCGATCTAGGCCAGAGACTCCCCTGAGTAGACATCGGGTACAATGCCATGGAGGCGTGGAGCCTGAGGTAACTGTAGGATTTTGATGCGAAAACCCCAGACTCCTGCGCGCAAAACTTTGGAGGCGTTTTGGATATGCGCTAAAAATCCCGAAATGAACAGAAAGGACGAATGCCTGGCCATCACAAACGAGCTCGCCCCGTTTGCTGACCTGTGGGGGCTTCAATTGCCATCGGGTTCGAGTCGAGAGGTTCGGTCAGCTGAAGCCACCCACTGGCTGTCAGTTTAGCGGTGGTCCCAAACAAAACCTGCCTTACATTCAAGGTTAGTCGTATTTTGGTTGTGACATATGACAGCTTTCTGAACTCTTCTGCTCTGGGACGAGCTTATCTGCGGTTTGAAATGATGTACGGGGGTAGTTTCACTTTGATCTTCGATTTTCCAGGCTCTAACGAAGGCGATAAGGCCGAAATATTAGCCAAATAAAACTGTTGTATCATCTTATTACAGCTACAACCACCCCAAAGAAAACTCCACAATATGCCAAGATCCATAGAGTGTCAAACCTGGACACATATGTTCTTGGATTCCTGAGAGCCTCATAAAGCAAGGTTATCTGAATGGCACGTTGACTGGCGCTGTCTGTAAAAAGACACGGATACGAGAGCCTCTCGAATCTTACATTGGACATGTAGAAATTGTTGTTCAACCAGTCGCGCCACACAGTTCTGAGAACTGGTGTGCGACCAGAGAAGTTGAGGCCCCTCTTGGAGTGACGCAAACCAAAATGTTGTGTCGGACGGCCGCGTTGCTCGAATGGATCAATGATGACATAAATATTCGCTGTACTTACCGTAATGGGAAATGCGCGGAGGTGGTATTCTCCAGCTGGGGGTGCTCAAAGGACGCGTCTAATAAAGCTGGTTCGGAACGCTGCATGCAGCGCACGCTGTCCTTGTGGAGTTCACAACGGAAGGGAGTCGTATTTGACCCGAACGAGAGGGGAGGGTCGTAAAGGCAGGGCTCATTCAGAAGTGGGTAACGATGCCAAGGTGCTGCACAGCGTACAGCCACTGAATGATAAAAAAAACTCTGTTTCCAAGGAGACATCTGAAGACGGAGTTAAAGTGCAAGCTCCGAAGAAGGGAGGACGGGCAGTGTCTAGATGACGCTTTTATTTGGGAGCGGAAGGTCGTATTTAACATAAACTCTACAAACGTGATGGTGTGCCGTGACTCATGTAGACTTGAAGGCAATTAGGGCCCATCCCGATTAGGCATTAAATAGGGAGAAGTGGCATCACAGTGTTGTAATAAGTGTACACCTTTCAAGAAAGTGGGACAGATGGAAGAAAAGCTAGCAGGGTGCTGGTTCATTGATTGCTTGTTTAGGCCAATTGATCGTCTCTGTGGCATCTGGGAGATGGAGCGGTGAGCAGGGCACTTCGCACTGAGCAAAACTTCTGCAAAACTGAATTTCTCGAACACACTCCTTTGATGCGACATCCGCTCGCAGCCTAACTTCCTTCGTACCAAGAGTTCCGCAATTTCGCTGGCGAGCGGAGCGGTGAATATGAAAGCGCGTGGAACAGGAAGAATTAGCAATTCCAACCATTTTTCCGAAATGGCGTACTACACCTCCTTCCCACTCTCTCCCCGACTCTCCTCAGCGATTTTAAAAGTACCTTCCGCAATCAGGTTAGAAGTTGAAATATGGCATCGGGAGGGTTGTGTGGCTAACCAACAGCCTTGTACCGGTTTCGCAAAAAAATTGTAAAGGAGGGTTGCTATAGCGCAATATGGATTCCCCTTTTTTCCACTGACTCCGCCTGTAAACACCGGCTTCTAGTGAAAGATGAAGCCGCAGGAGGAAAAATCGTGAAAATCGTCACTTGTACGCCCGTAGATTCCTATCGGGGAATGCTGTGCGGATGAGCGCGTAGCGTTGAAGATGAACTAATTGAGCATGTACAAGGTGGGACTGTGATGGGTTTCTATTTGGGGCACTTAGCATGTTTTTTCTTTTCTTCACTATCGAGTTACTAAGAATCTTGTCGTCTACATGCGAATTATTAATCCCATCTCTGATGGCGAATAATCGACGATTCTGCCTTTAAGGCATATGGCACGATAATTCGGTTCATAGTCTAAAATGCTAGCAGCCGCTATATAGTGGGGAAAACGGCGAAAAAAAAGAAGGGAATCGGTCAAAACCTGTCAAAAAAGTCTTTGTTCCTAATGTCTCAAAAACAAGTTTTGGACGAGTTTCCCGTAGGCATCGTACAAATAAGCGCTACGTGTGCTGCTGTACGCGTGCACTCAGATATCCAGCAGCACCGCGGCCGCTTCGTATTTGAGTTCGCAAATGAAGCAATACGAGCATCATATACAGTCATCCAATTGTGTTATAAGGGCACCT